TGAGGAGATTGAGAGTATCCGAAATGACTTTGAGGAACATACACAGACTGAGATGGAGCTAAGACAAACCATCTTTGCCTTGGAATGTAGACTCATGGAGGCCTTGAGTACAATCGATGCTATGAAGGAAAAGATATAATTACTCGAGGAACATGCCAATGCTGGCATAACCGAGGCACACAGTAATGTTATTGTGATGAGGGAGGCCAAGATCGAGGCTCCCAAACCGTCGGTGTTCAAAGGTGTTCGGATGAACAAGAAGTGATGAATTTCCTTTGGCACTTGGAGAACTACTTCAGGCACGGCAAAGTGAAAGACGACGAGGCCAAGATCAACACTGATGTGTTGTACCTCTCAGATATTTCCGCGTTGTGGTGGCTTCAAAAGTGTGTTGACATAGAGAAGGGGATATGCAAGATTGAGATGTGGGAGCAGTTTAAGAATGAGTTGAAGAAGCAATTCTACCCGGTGAATGCGGTGTATAAGGCTAGGCGGAATCTAAGGGAGCTCCGACATACGACCACAATTTGGGAGGAGTATGTGTGCGAGTTCACTACCTTAATGTTGCAAATCTCGTCATTGTCCTAGGGATATTCCCTCTTCTACTTCATAGACGGGTTGCAAAATTGGGCAAAATACGAGTTAAGAAGACATCAGGTAGCCAACGTGGACGAGGCCATAGCAGTAGCCGAGTCGCTCGTTGACTTAAAGATGTAGCCTGCCAATTCCAAAGAAGGCAACGCCAAAAGAGGTGAGGGAGATCATGACAAGGACAACGGAAAAGGCATTGCCAAGGTATACAAGAGCAATGGCAATGGGCCATCCCATAATAGACTGAGGTCCAAGAGAAATGACAAGGGGCCAAAAAACGGTAGCGAGTACGTTCCTAAGGGAGGGTGCTACTTCTGTAAAGGATCAGATCGGGCAAGTGAATGCCCAGATTTGGGGAGCCTTGCATCAATGATCGAAAACTTTGCTCAAGCACACAAGGGTGACACAGGAAGGACTGCCTGTATTGGGGGGATGCGCTTGGAATCTATGTCGAAAGTAGGGGATTCCAAAGCCTATCTTGTCACCATACAAATGGAGCATGGTAGTAGCAAGAAACGTTGGACGGACATAGTTGAAAAGGATGGAAAGTTACAAAGTGATGGCACGCTATCAAACTTAAACGAGGCACCAAACAGAGGGGTCAAGTTTGCTAGATAGGCTGGGACCATGGAGGACAACCAAATAGGGAATGGAACTGGGACCCGATGCTTGAGAAGTTGCTAGACTTGGTTGAGTTATGGGGAGATTCAGGTCAAGAGCAAGGAGAGGCATATGATGGGCGGAGGATCTAGGCCATCATTACTAGCCGTCCAAAGTACAAACGAGACAAGAAGAAAGGTGACCAGTAACTTGCTACATGGGAAAGCGAACCGCTCCATAGAGTATCATGGCTAATGGACAATGATCTCCGGCGACGCCAAGGCGAGGTGCGCGCGTACGTAGGTGCCATTTGGCATATATTTTTATATATGGAAGCTTATATATGAAATAGACTAGCACATGTGGGAAGGTTGAGAAATATAGAGATTTCTCATGGAAGACCTTAGAACCCTATGGCATTGCGAAGAAAGTCCTTAGAAGATTCTAGCTATGTAGAATATTCTAGAGAAGGGGCTTACTTGTAAATAATAAGGGACTTGTGTAATAATTATTATTTACTCACTAGCCCTTGTGAAACTAATATATAAAGGTGGTTATTCATTTGTAACTCACCAAGCAAAATAATAAAATTCTCTCTAATACAAAAGCTTCCTTTGGCAATTCTCTTGTGTTCTAACATTCCCTTAGCGATCTTAAGTGTGGTAAGGCTGACTTGGCATAGCAAGATCGTGAGCGAGTTGTAGTTATCAAGTGCCGCACTTATTCTTAGTTAAATACTAAGAACGTGACAGGGTGGTATTAGAGCAAAGGTTATGACTAAGGGAATGGTGAATGACAGAGAAATTAACGTTGCCAACACCCAAGCCAACGTCATCTAGGATGCTGTTGGTAAGAAGAGTTGTAACAAAAAGAGAAATGCCACCATCAAGAGCCAAGAGGTGTCTCCCGAGATTATGCCAAATGAGGGGCTTATATTCCAAGAACCATCTGCCACTAAGGCTAGCGAGGATGAATTTGAGGTCCTGCCGGAGGACGTATTGCTATGTAAAGAGTGGGTGATGAAGGTGAATGCATGGATGGACGCCATCCAGATCTTTGGCCAACGCTTGGGGAAGGTGGAACGCACCCTTAGCGTTCTTGAAAGACACACTCTTGAGGAGATTGAGAGTATCCGAAATGACTTGGAGGGATGTACACAAACTGGGATGGAGCTAAGGCAAACCGTCTCTGCCTTGGAATGTAGACTCATGGAGGCCTTGAGTACAATCGATGCTATGAAAGAAAAGATAGAATTACTCGAGGAACATATCAATGCTGGCGTAACCGAGGTAGACAATAATGTTATTGTAATGAGGGAGGTTAAGATCAAGGCTCCCAAACCGCCGGTGTTCAAAAGTGTTCATGATGCACAAGAAGTGGAGAATTTCCTTTGGCACTTGGAGAACAACTTCAGGCACAGAAAACTGAAAGACAACGAGGCCAAGATCAACACTATTGTGTTGTACCTCTCAGAGATTGCCGCATTGTGGTGGCGTCAAAAGTGTGTTGACATGGAGAAGGGGCTATGCAAGATTGAGACGTGGGAGCAGTTTAAGAAGGAGTTGAAGAAGCAATTATACCCGGTGAATGTGGTGTTTGAGGCTAGGTGAAAGTTAAGAGAGCTCATACATACGGCCACAATTCGGGAGTATATGTGCGAATTCACTACCTTAATGCTGCAAATCTCGTCATTGTCCGAGGGAGATTCCCTCTTCTACTTCATAGATGGGTTACAAAATTAGGCAAAGCAGGAGTTAAGAAGAATTTAGGCAGCCAACGTGGACGAGGCCATAGCAGTAGCCGAGTCGCTCGTTGACTTCAAAATGGAGCCTGCCAAGTCCAAAGAAGGCAACACCGAGAGGGGTGAGGGAGATCATGACAAGGACAATGGGAAAGGCATCGCCGAGCTATACAAGGGCAATGGCAAGGGACCATCCTATAATAGACTGGGGTCAAAGAGAAACGCCAAGGGACCAAAAAACGGTAGCGAGTACGTGCCTAAGGGATGGTGCTACTTCTGAAAAGGATCACATCGGGCAAGTGAATGCCCAAATTTGGCGAGCTTTGCATAAATGATCGGGAACTTTGTTCAAGAACACAAGGGTGACACTGAAGGAACCGTCTGTATTGGGGGGATGCGCATGGAATCTATGCCGAAAGTATAGGATTCCAAATCCTATCTTGGCACTATGCAAATGGAGCATGGTGATCGTAAGAAACGTTGGACAGACATAATTGATGAGGATGGCGAGTTACAAAGTGATGGCACGCTATCGGACTTAGACGAGACACCAAGCAGAGGGGTCAAGTTTGCTAGCAAGGCTGGGATCACGGAGGGCAGCCAAATAGGGAATGGAAGCAGGGACCTGATGCTTGAGAAGCTGCTAGACTTGGTCGAGTCATGGGGAGATTCAGGTCAAGAGCAAGGAGAGGCATCCGATTAGCGGAGGACCGAGGCCATCATTGCTAGCCGTCCAAAGTACAAACGGGGCAAGAAGAAAGGTGACCAGTAACTTGTGACATGGGAAGGCAAACCACTCCATAGAGCATCATGGCTAATGAACAAAGATCTCCGGCGATGCCAAGGCGAGGTGTGCACGTACGTGTCGATGCTTAGTGTCGAGGGTGGCACAAAATTTGGTGGGGGAGAGTATCATGACCTGCCACATCATCATGTCACGTAGGTACCATTTGGCATATATTTTTGCCATATGGAAGCATACATATGAAATTAACTAGCATATGTAGGAAGGTTCTAGAGAAATATGGAGATTTCTCATGGAAGACCTTAGAACCCTATGGAATTTCTAAGAAAGTTCTTAGAAGATTCTAGCTATGTAGAATATTCTACAGAAGGGACTTACTTGTAAATAAAAAGGACCTTGTGTAATAATTATAAATTACTCAGTAGCCCTTGTGAAACTAGTATATAAAGTGGGTTATTTATTTGTAACTCACCAAGCAAAGCAATCAAATTCTCTCAAATACAAAAACTTTTTTTGGCAATTCTCTTGTGTTCTAACAATCCCTTAGGAGTCCGTTCTAACAACAAACTCCTAGAGGTATTATAAATACCCATATCATCTCCAAAATGAAAGACCTCTGAAAATTTCCATCTCTTTCTCTTCTACTTATTTTGTACACTCACAAATATTTTGTTCTTGTGGGAAATTTGAGTTAATTGCTGAAACTCGAATTTTGGAGGTTTTGTAAAATCCTGGAGAAATTATGCTATTATCTGTGCAGCAATTTGTGGGAAGCTTAAATTCTTTAAGGACGATGATTTCACTATCGAAACCAGACTATTTCATCCCATTATAATTCTAACAATTACTTCATATGGCATATAATAGTCGAACTCTCACAACTAGGGTACGTTACCTCTACTATGTGATATTGTTCTAACTTATGGTCTCTCAAATTAGTTAATAAAGCCTCTCTCGGCTCCTTTCTTTTTAATTTTATGCGTTTTAGGATTTCTCCATCCTTTCCTTATCTTCAGATACCAATCATATATAATTCTCACACTCTTTAGCTCCATCTCTAGAAATTGAAACAATAATAATGAGGCCATATATAATTCCATGTCTACTGATATCCTTACTCATCCATGAATTGGTCGTGGTGGACAAGTGTTCTAGCTTTTCAGTAGAAGCATTAAAATCCGTACAACAATTTTCTTACAAGGAATTAATGGTTTCTCAAGTCAAGGCCGCCGGAGAGCTAAAAGGTTTAGACAGGAATAAGGGCAGAGGTACACTAACACCGCCATCACCACAGCATAATTTGAGAAATCATTGGAGGAGCCGTTATGTGCCACCAACACCACCAGCTCCACCTCCAAAGCCAAATGTGGGAAATCGTCGGAACCGTGGTGCGCTACCACCACCACCACTACCTCCTCCACCAGCACTTGCACCTTCACCAGCACCACCACCACCACTTTCACCGCCACCACCAGAAGCACCACTGCTTCCACCAGCACTAGCATCACCACCTCCAATATCACCAGTACCACCATCATTTTCACCGTCACCGTCACCGCCAACACCACCATCACCATCAAGCTAGTCATGAAGCTCGCCACCGCTATATATGCTGCAGCTACGAGGGAGCCAGATCCAGATCCAGAATTTAAACTATAAGGGCTTGTTTGGTACGAGAGATAAGGAATAATTTATCCCGAGACTAAATTTAAGAAGAGTTTATCTCATGTTTGATTGGTAGAATATTGCGATATAATTAATTCCGGGATTGTAGGATTTCTTTAATCCCATAGAAAGTGAAATAACTAATTCCTGGATAATTAATTTTGGAATAACTTCTTTCCAATAAAACTTTTATTGGTATAACTTTTAAGTTTTTAGCTTGAATTCAAACACAATTTTAAAGTTATGGGTTCAATTGTACATTCTAGTAAATTTTTACCCATAAATTTATATTTTGCATCAAAATTATAGGTTCAGTTGAACTCGTACATTTAACGGTGCATCCCCGCTGGCTATGAGAGAACTCATAAATTTTATTGATTGAACCACCTAAATTTGGTGCAAAATCGAGCTTGAGAGACAAGTTGGTTTTCTGATTTTGCAAAGTAAGAGTTTAGTCAACATGTCCATTCCCACATGTACTACTTTTTCTAATTTATAAATCCATACGGGTCCGTTTTAAACCCTCCAGTTCGAGGGTGGTTAGAAATTTAGAATAAAAGAAGCGTAGTTCGTTTGGACTCGAAAACGTTTATTTGATTTTGTTAGTATTTCTTTTTATTATTTTGGGTCTCTTTTACATTTTTTTTTAGTGCTTAAATTGGTTTTGGAACAATAAATTTAGGATTATTATGAGAGAATTTATATTAAGAATGTATTTTGATTCATGCTTTCTCTTTTTTTAAAAACAAATGGGTATGAACCAGAAAAACAAACTGAGTGGTATACGTAATTAAACAAATATTTTGTTTTCCAATAGGAATGGATCTACTCAGTGTTTTAAAAGGCGTGAGTGTAAGACGGGACATTTTACATATGCTTCAGCGGGGCATAAGCCCCATAGGTATTTAATTTTTAATATTTTATAAAATAATATAATGACAGTTAATATTTATAAACAGGTAAAATTGCATAAAAATTAAATAAAACTATATATATGTGTGCTCCATCCCCACAAAAAACTAATCAAAACAATCTATTATATGTTACTTACAAGTACAAGTAATTTGAGTCTAAAAGAATAAAGTTTTCTATATGGAGAAACAAAAAGGATGATTAACCTGCAATTTGAACATTGAATTTGCTGCTTTGAAGAAAAATGTAGTTCTATTTGTATTTGTAAAAAAAAAAAAAAAAAAAAAAAAAAAAAAAAAAAAAAAAAAAA